AAGAAGTAATAATATCTAAAAATTAAAGTTAAGACAATGTAAATTGAAGTGGAGGAAATACCATATTACCGTATAAACTTATACGTACCAATAAAAAACACGGGTTAAAGCCAACTATCATCCCTCTACTTTGTGAAAAAGTTCAATTTAACCCTTCTACTATGAAATCACCTCAAGTCGTCCCTCTACTTCAGTTTGAGCTCACATGTCCTCTCTCTACCATTCAAAAAGTGATCAATTTCGTCCCTCCTTCCATTCCATGGCTAACACTGTTACTTTTTATTGCTGAAGCCTAACGGTTTGGCTAACACCGTCACTTTTCTTCAATTTAGTTATGATAGGACTCACTAATACCACATCATACTCTATATTAATATCATTTTACATGAATATTTTACCAACTTTTTTTTTTCAATTATTACCCACATTTATTTATTTCTTTTTATTAATTTTTTAGTTGGTTAAATTAAAGGAATATTTTTCAAAATTATAATAGGTAATCAAGTAAATTTAATTTTTTTTAAAAAGAAATAGATAAAAAAATTTATTTTTATTAAGGTTTAAAAAATTATAATTAGAAAAAGAAAAATTCATAATGCCTGTTACTATTTCTTTAATTGTAAACTTTGGGTAGTTTAAAATGAATTCACTATTTACGATTGTGTTCATGTATATAAGTAGGTTAAGCAAATACATGAGTGAAATATTTGTTTATATTTGTATTTAATTTAAAAATTAATAGATATAAAACTTTAATACTCAGTATCTATTCCAATAATGAAAATCTATTATTATTATTTAACTCTTTGAGTATATGTATATTTGTAGATGTACTTATATATTTGTTGAATATAATAACCTTCTAGTACAAATTAAAATATAATTAAACATATTGCAAAACATATACTTTACTTCATATATAATATATAAGCATAAGTTTTTTTTAATACATTAATTTGATGTGAGAGGTGTGCCTTTAAAATAACCCGGATAAGAATTAGTCTAGAGATGCAAGAAATCTAGTTTGAAAACATCTTAATTATAACTATAAAAAAAATATATATATATATACATAAAAAATATATGACTTTATACTTATAATAAATTACACAATTAAATTAGAATACAAACACAAAAGGAAATAAAAGGTACTAATTAAGAATGTAGTACTTTATTTTATACACGTCAACTTTAATTTATTTATTTTAGAAGACAAATATTTTTTGAATTTGTCTTAAAATAATAATCATTTTTTATAGTTTAAAAAGAAAAGTATATTTTTAAGGGCTATTTTAAAGGTACATCTCTCATATTGGATTACTACATTTAAAGAAACTTATATTTGTATATTATGTATGAACTAAAATATATGTTTTGTAATATATTTAATTGTGTTTTAATTTATATTAAAAAATTATAATATTTAACAAATATATAAGTGTAATATCCCCTCTAGAGTAACCATAGGTCCATCAAGTAGGAAATGTATTACATAACTAAGTAAAGAAAGATACAGAAAAAAAAATCTATAATATCAAAATATTCAGATTATATACTATTCCCAGGGTCAACACAGTATAGGTAAATTTAAAGTTATAAAGCCAAATGAAAGTTTTGGGTAGATATAAATTTGCCTTATTGAAATTTGGCAGCATAGCTTACCGTTAGCATAGGATCTCCACCCACAAAACTCTTAGAAATATCAGCTACCCTTCATTGTTGCTATCTGTAATGGTGGGAATAACACCATGGGCTCATAGCCCAGCAAGTATAATTCTTAATCTCAAGTTAAGCTGCTAATTTAATCTTTAATATCTTGTGCAGAAAAATTCCAACATTGTAGAAAATTAAGGTATTGCAGTCATAAATGATCACACAAACATATCAAATCATACTAGTGATAACACAAACCATAAAGTCCACTGAATGTGCATGCACTCACATTAGGTGCTAGAGCTAGTCCTAGCACATATCTACTGCGCAGAGGTTCAGTAGTTCACTGTTCTAACCCCCAAGCCTAAGTTAGGGTCCAAACTCTCCATAGTTCTAAGGAAATTACATCAAAAATCATTTATAGCACATAAACATGCATAACATATTCAATATTTGCCTAATTCGATCTGTAAAACTCAAGGAAATAAGTTATAATGAAGGGCTCAAGTCAAATATATAAAACATAATCCAAAGAATGTGATACACATAATATATTAGTCCCAAAACTAGAACTCATCTAACTACAGAAATTTCACAGCTTCAGCACATGAAATTTCTGCTTCTTTGTGCCTTTGTATCTATTTCACTCTATGTTATATAAATTATTCTGCAGCACCTTAATTTCTTGTATATATATACATAATGTTCTGTCTAATTTCCTTACCTTCTTATTTTTATTTGACAACTTTAACTAAAAATTAAGAACCACACTTACCTACATACTTTCTTCAAAAATCTTGAACTAGTAGGATTTCAATATTCTCCCAATCGGCTTAACCTATCTGCACCATCCTTCTCCCGCTCTTTTGGTCCAACGATAAGCAAAATATATGAAAATAGCCTATTTAGTAATATGGCTCAAGAGTCCCGGTCAAGTGGGGAAGTGGGTCTTAAATGCTCCCCACTTGGCCTACTTCTCACCCAACCACTTGTCATTAATTTTTTTAACATGTTGTTGACAGTTGGAATGTATTAAATTCTCCTTAGATAAACACTAGGACTGCAATTTATTAAATTAACATGCAATTCCCAAATTAACAAATATTATATATTTGTTCCTAATTCTAAATGAAGTGAAAGACTTCAACTTTAGACTTCTCGCAAATTGGGACCTATTTTCGTTAACTAATTGTAAATAAGGATTGGGATATCACAATAAGTATATTTGCAAATATACCACCTGTACATAAACGAGTTAAATAATAGGAACATATTTTTATTACTTAAATAAATATTAAGTATCACAATTTTATATCTATTAACTTTTAAATTAAATACAAATATAAACAAATACTTCACCCATATACTTGTTTAGCCTATTTATACACATGAATAGAATAGTAAATTGTGAGTTCACTTTAAATCACTCAAAGTTTACAATTAAAGAAATAATAATAGGCATTATGAAATTTTATTTTTCTAGTTATAATTTTTTTTGAACCTTAATAAAATTCAAAAAAAAAATTATCTATTTCTTTTAAAAAAAAATTAAATTTACTTGATTACCTTCATAGTTTTGAAAAATCTTCCTTTAATTGACTCAACTAAAAAATTGATAAAAAAGTCAACGATCTAAATAATTTAGTGGTCATCTCTTTTTACTGGAAGTAGGAGGTCCTAAATTTAAGTCGCATGGCATGCGGATGGAGTGAAATGAGGGATGAAAAATGATTGTTTCTCATTATGCAACCAATATAAAAAAAAATTGATAGAAAGAGATAAATTAACGTGGCTAATAACTTTTTTTTTTTTTACAAGAGCAATGATTAATATGTTAATTTTATTAGTTGTTAGCAAATGGGAATTCGATCCCCAGATCTGGTGAACATCCCACGTCTCTCAATGAGGCACGCAACTCATCGGGCCGCTTGATGGAGTTCAACGTGGCTAATAACTAGAAAAGAAAAAGTTGGTAAAATTTTCCTGTAGAAAGATATTAATATGGAATATGATGCAGCATTAGTGGAACCTATTATAGCTAAATTAGATAAAAAATAATAATATAGAAATATATGTTAAACGCCAAACGGCGCAAACCATTGGGTGTTAACGGTAAAAGTGACGGTGTCAGCCAAAATGGATGGAGGGACGAAATTAATCACCTTTTGAATAGTAAAGGGAGGGGAGGACATGTAAGCTCAAAATGAAGTAGAGGGACGACTTGAGGTGATTATATAGTATAAGGGTTAAACTGAACTTTTTCAAAAAATAGAGGGACGAGAGTTGCATTTAACCCTAAAAAACACTGTCAAAAAGATGATTGGGAAATGCGAGCATGCATTGACGTATGGAAAAAAAAAAAAAACAAAAACAAACAAACAAACAAACAGACAGCGACAAGCATTGTCAAGGGAAAATAATTATTAAAAAAATAACAAAAAAAAAAAAGTTGTGTCCTTAACTTCCTCGCGCGTTAACTCCCGTTCGATCGTAATCCGACGTCCCAAACTCTCTCTTCCTTGGGCCAACCTCACTCTTGTTTTCTTTTCTGTAATAAAAAGGAACCGTTTCCAAGAATCTTAGGGGCTCACGCGATCTGATCCTCCATGTTTGCTCTGTAAGTTCTTCATCCGAATGAATTCAAAAATTCTACCGTATGAAATTTAATCTTTTATGTAGAATTTGGTTTTATTTTTCAGCTTTTGCTTTAAAGGAATCAGGGTCGATCCCTCCACAGGTTATCCTTTATCAATTTGGTTCTGAACATGCTGATGACTTTTTTTGGGTTTTTTTAGCTTCAGATATCATCGCTGAATAATTGGTTTTTTACCCCTTTTGCTCTTCAGGATGATTGATTTGTTCCTTGATTGTTTTTGATGCGGGAACTCGTGTAAAGGTAGGATTTTTATTTTGGTGATTTAATGTTAATTCCCAATTACGTTCTTTTAGTTGCTGAGGAATAGTGTAAGAATGCACGGAAAAGTAGAAAACTTTCTGTATGATTTGAGGTTGTGGCACCTAGAACATAAAATTCAAGGTTTAATAATGGGACAGCCTCAGTGAGGAAGTTGGGAAGAAATTATGTTTACTTACATGGGATTTTGTCAAAGGATTCAGCTTTCTATTTTTTTTTTTAATTTATTTTTGATTCTGTATTTGTTTTTGGTTTTTGTGAATTTAGAATTTTGGAGATGGTTACTGGCAGTATGATTCCAAGCTTAGACAATGGTTTCCAAGAACCTAATGGGAGTTTAGAAGATAGTTCTCAAAATGAGCTGGAATTGATTTTACGAGCACAGAGAAGGCAACAAACCATTGGTAGAGAAAGGGATTTGAATATGTATAGGAGTGGCAGTGCGCCACCTACAGTTGAGGGGTCCCTGAGTGCTGTTGGCAGTCTTTTTGGGAACTCTGGTCTTGGAGACATTAATGACATTGGTAGTGCTGGTAATCAAAATGGAATGCTTTCTGAAGATGAGATTCGTTCGCATCCTGCCTATCTTTCATATTATTATTCTCATGAGAACATAAATCCAAGGTTGCCCCCACCTCTGTTATCAAAAGAAGATTGGCGTGTTGCACAAAGGTTTCAGGGTGGATTTGGAGGTATTGGGGACTGGAGAAAAAAGAGCATAGTTGATGATGCCAACAGTTCATCTTTGTTTTCAATGCAGCCAAGCCTCTCTGTACAACAGGCAGAAAATGATTTGATAGAATTAAGGACTGCCAGTGGAAGGAATCTCTCAAGGAAGATGTCTGCTGAGTGGCTGGATAGAGGCTCAGATGGTTTGATTGGGATGTCAAATTCTGGCCTTGGCACTAGGAGGAAGAGTTTTGCTGACATTCTTCAGGTAATTGATGTATTCCCAATTTCAATTCATGGTAGAACAGTATGTTTGTTTGTTTGTTTTTTGTATTGATAGTGTGTAAATATTTGAATTGCTGTTGTTTATTCTCTATATGGTGAATAAGTTCGTATCTGTAAATATTTTAGCATTGAGTATTGACATTCTCTCCGAACACATTCTTGAAAACATTTTGGGATTGTCCAAGCCTAATGCTATTCAAACAATTTAACTGAAAAAGTTTGATTATCTTGTTTATCTATTTTTATTTTTGTGTTTATATTAGTACCTTGACAGTTTTATATTCTCTTTCAGGAAGGACTTGAGCAACCTGTAACCTTATCAGGCCACTCATCGCGGCCAGCAAGTCGTAATGCTTTTGGTGAGATGCTTGATACATCTATCACTTCTAATCCTAGTCCACCTGGGCTGTGCAATGGAGTGGAATCTGCAGAAGGCTTGTATGCTGGAGCTCATGTTGGGCGGTCTGGACTTCAGAGCCATGGTATAAGTTCTTCTCATGCTTTTGCATCAGCTGTGGGTTCATCATTGTCAAGAAGTACAACCCCTGAACAAAATGTGGTTGGAAGGTCCCCTGGTTTTGGCCTTCCTCCTGTTGGAAGCAGCAAGGTTTGTCCTATTGAAAAGAGGAATATTGTTGGCTCTAATATACAAAATGGAAATCCTTCTGTTGCAAATGAACTTGCTGAAATTGCAGCTACCTTATCAGGCTTAAGCTTGTCAAAAGCTAGACATACAGACAAGGATAGTCAACTGCAATCTCAGCTTCATGGGGGTATTGATAATCAGCATGGTTTTCCATTTAATATGCCCAACAGTCATAACAACAATCTTCAGCATCAATTCATAGACAAGTCCAACGCTGAAAACAATTCATTTTCCCATAACTTTGCTGACTTAGCAAGGAAAAATGCTGCTGTGCCAAACCTTAATGCTTCCAAGATTAATTCAAGTGGACAAGTAAGCATACCAAGAAGAACTTCCTCTACTGTGAACCTTTACTCAGAAATGCATCCTTCAGAATTTGCAAGCTTGGAAGGATCAAATATTTATCACCCAAATGCTAGTTTAGCTGGTCTTGTAACTGGTGCATATTCTGATGATCAGAAGTTGAATTTAGCAATTAAGAACCAACAAAATGCAGGTTACCTCTGTTTTTTATCTTGAATCCTCGTTTTTCCCCATTTTATTTATTTGTTTCTAGTCTTTTGACATTTTGTTTTTGGCTTTAGGTTCCTCTTTGACTGGTAGTCGGGATGGTCGAAGTTTCAATGAACTGGCAAATCTAGAGTTTGATGTGCATTCTTCTGCCATGGACCCACTTCATATTCAGTACTTGAGAAGAACTCAGAATGGAATGCACACTGTGGCTAGTCCTGCCGATTCTTTTCTTCTTGGGAACCATATCAGTGCTTCACATGGGGACTTGGATGCACTTCATAAAGCATACCTTGAGGCATTGCTTGCCCAGCAGAAGCAGCAGTATGAGCTATCACTTTTAGGAAAATCTGGTGGTCTGAATCGTCTATATTATGGGAATCCATCATCTGCTCTTGGCATGGCTTTTCCTGGAAATCCTATTTCAAATCCATTACTCTCTTCTGTTGGTTCTGGAAATCTTCAGAATGAGAGAATGTCACATTTCACTTCAATGATGAGGAGCTCTGTGGGAGGAACGATGGGAACATGGAACTCAGATATTGGTAACAATGTGAATGGAAGATATATGTCATCTTTATTGGATGAGTTTAAGAACAATAAAACGAGATCTTTTGAGCTTTCAGATATTGTTGGGCATGTTGTTGAATTCAGGTTAGCTTGCAATTTGGTAGTGCCTTTATTATGTTATGGTCTCTTTGTGCATCTGTTCTACTGTATTGTTAATTACTGTTACATTATGCAGTACGGATCAGTATGGTAGTCGTTTTATTCAGCAGAAACTAGAAACAGCCACTGTGGAAGAGAAGACCAAAATATTCCCTGAGATTATTCCTCATGCTCGTACTTTGATGACTGATGTCTTTGGGAATTATGTCATACAGAAAGTATGATCCTAATGATTCTAGATATTTGATCCTTCTGTTTAAGCTAATCTGATTGTTTACTCTATATCATCTTCCATAATTTGCAGTTTTTTGAGCATGGCATGGAAAGTCAAAGGGCTGAGTTAGCAAGCCAACTTACTGGTCACGTGTTGCCACTTAGCCTTCAAATGTATGGTTGCAGAGTAATTCAAAAGGTAATTTCATAGAGCACTGCATCTCAATATAATTTCTTAATGTTACCTTCCCTTGAAAGATACCCAGGATTATAAACAGCTTTTACATTGTAATGTAATTATTGCTTTGGTAGTAGTAGTAGTTGTTGTTGTTGTTGGGGTATGAGAAGATCTCAGTGCTCCAAAATAAAATTCTGACCACAGGCATTGGAAGTGGTTGATGTGGATCAGCAAATGCAAATGGTGGCAGAGCTTGATGGTTCAATCATGAAATGTGTCCGTGATCAAAATGGTAATCATGTTATTCAGAAGTGCATTGAGTGTGTACCCCAAGATCGAATTCAGTTTATCATCTCGTCCTTCTATGGGCAAGTTGTGGTACTTTCTACTCACCCTTATGGATGTCGTGTCATTCAGGTCAGTAATTATTGATATTATGCTTTTCTTGGCAGGGTGTCACAATTACTTCCTAGATTCTTATTTTCTTATTTGATACTCTCAGAGAGTGCTGGAATATTGCAATGATATAAAAACGCAGCAAATTATTATGGATGAGATCATGCAATCTGTATGCATGCTGGCGCAAGATCAATATGGAAATTATGTTATTCAGGTATTGAGTTTCCTTTCAAGATTGATTTGAATGTTTCAGAGTCAGAAATGTTGATTCCTATTATATGCCAAAGAAACAACTTTATATCAAGTTCTATTTTCATGTCAATTTTTTTAATCCCCTGTTATTGCTGGTTTACTAGTTTCAGTGTAAGAACAACAAAGCTACTGGACATTTTTAGTAAACACCCC